GTTCCCACTAAGAGATTCTTGGGACCAGCTCCTATAATCCATGAACAAAGAAGAGGGCGGTCGGGTGGCTTTTTTCCTCAGGACAGTGGCTTTTGTCCAAACGCCCTCATTCGGAACAGGTCAAAAAGCCAAGTAACTCTTTAGAAAGGAAGGACAGAGAAGGCAGAGAGAGAGGGGAATGAAACACAAGTGCCCGCGCGGGAAGATAAAGCAGGTAGAAATCAGGCTGTAGAAAAGATAGACGAGCATTTTATCTTTTACTAACAAGGACAAGAACATGAAAATTTCATTATGGTAAAATAAGTGAAACTGTTGTTTGACTTAATTATGACTCTTAGGAAATTATTCCTCTTAGGGATGCTGATTAAATCAAACCATATCCTATATTATTTCATACGCTGGTGCTAAGTGTTATTATTAAAGATATATTGATTTACTCTCGCCTTTGGCTCTTCAGCTTTGATTTATTTACTGGTTAAATCTCATTATAATTTTATTCTACCTTCTCTTATTGTATTTAAATAGATATGAAAGAAATTGACTAAGAGACCACTGGGTGGCTTGAAAATAATACATAGAGCTCTCTAATACATAGAGTTCTTTAATACCTAGAGCTTTCTGGTAAAAGGCTATGAATGGCAATGTGATGACCAGAGTCTATGTGATTAAGAGCCCCGGTAGCACAATGGTTACACACTTGGCTGTTAACTAAAGGTTTGATGATTTGAACTCACCAGCATCTCTGTGTGAGAAAGATGTGGTAGTCTACTTCCATAAATATTTACAGCCATGGAAAACCTACCAGACAGTTCTACTATGTCCTGTAGGGTTGTTGTGGGTTGGCATCAAATCAACAGAATAAATATGGTGCGGTATTGCATGTGATTATCATGGTATATTTTGAAACAAACGTCTAATATCACTTGCTTTTATGGGGTTTCTAATCCTGTCACTAGTTTATTTTCTATAAAAGACCACAGAGCTCAACTTGGCAATCACGTTGGATTGAGAAAAGGCGAGTTGTCTAGAGAGAAGTCGTTACCGTTAAGTGCTGTAGAGCTAGATCCTGCTCATAATGTTCCCAGGGACAGCAGAAGGAAACACTGCCAGTCCTGTGCATCCGCACTATTGCTCTGATGGTTGAGCCTATCCATGCAGCCACTGTGTCCACCCGGCTTGTAGAGGCCTTCCTCTTTTGGCTGCCCCACCACTTTACCAAGCCTGATGCCCTTCTCCAGGGACTATTCTCTCCAGACAAGTCCAGAGTACGAGAGGTCGTCTTGTTCTTTGGAAGTCCAGGGTGCTTTCAATGTTCTTCTCCGGCACCGATTTCCAAACTACATCAAATCTTCTTTGATCTTCTTTATTCAATGTCCAACGCTCACATGCCTATGGGGTGATGGAAAATACCATGTGGCTAGAGTCAGGAGCACTTTAGTCCTCAGTAATATCCTTCCTCTTCAACACTTAAGATAGGTTTATCTATTCCACTCTTCTCAACAATTGAGCTGCATTCTACACTCTGCATGTGAAATAAGTATCAATAAGCTATCCATGATCCTTCAAGTGGAATCTAGTGAACAGCATATCCATTAAAGAAGGATTTGAAGCGCTGGGTTAGAAGAACTGTCATGGGAAAAGCGGCGCACTCAGAAAAGAGAGAAACTTCCTTGTTGATTCTTATAGCATTGAATTATATTTCAGAGCAAATTTTTTAAAACTTTGTATTTTATAAGATTTTAGTAACTGTGAAAACTCTTAGAACGTGATTTTTAGAATATTGAAATACAAATATATATATTTCGTTATAGTAAAAGCATAAGATATATATGATATACATTATTTAAGTATGTGTTGGCATCAACTTGGTGGCAGTGAGTTTGTATTTTGGTATTATAGAACAAAATAGTTTGATAATACAAAAATTCATTAATGATTAAATAATGGTTTTGTTTTAATTTTATACTGATGCCGAACAGCAGCCCTGGTGGTGCAGTGATTATGCATTGGGTTGCTGACTTACAAGTGAAGCAGTTCAAAACCACCAGCTACTCCACAGGAGAATGATGGGGCTTTCTACTCTCATAAGGAGTTGCGGTTTCAGAAACCCACAGGGGCAGTTCTTCTGTGTTCTATAGTGTTGCTATGAGTCGTTATTGACTCAATGGCAGTGAAAGGCATATTCAGTTGTTTTTGTTCCCCATGGGCTATTTCAAAATAGGAGACAGCACTTCAAAGGAAACCACTCTTCAAAACTCAATATATTAAAAAAATGCAAAATTGATATTCTGATTTTTGACCCATAATGCACCTAACCAAAATTGACACTCGTATTTCTGTGGCTCAGGTCCAGTGTTTGCTTGGTGTATACTATGATTGTTTAAATAAGGCGGTGAATAATTTTTAACATTCACAAAGGAGTTTTTGATTATTCTCTATCTCCTATACCTGGACACAGTATCCATTTAATGGTTCACTGTTTTGTCAAACATTGTTAGATTCCACAAAATCTTTTAAGTGACAAATATTGAAAAAAGGGCACTCACTTCTCTGAATTTTTTTTTAAGGCTAGCCTACTCTGTAGGTTAATGTGTACATTTTATTATACTAACAGAGGGGAAAAAGTTAAACACGATTCATTCCACTGGTGGCGTACAAGGTGACTGTGTGGACAGAGGGGTGAGAATGATTGGATTCTGCCCTCCAGGGGTCAGGCAAAACATGCTTATCATGGGTATAATGAATAGATATGGTGTTGAATGAATGAAGATTGCTGATACATCTTTAAAAAACCTGAAATGAACAGTTTTCACTAACTGGCATTTACTTCTTCATTTACAAGAATGGCAGAGCATAAAGGAAGGTGCTATGTTCCCGACAGCTGCCCTTGTATTTGGAAAGACTGGGAGTACCTCTCTGGAGAAGTGATTACGACACCCTGTTATACCTGGTAAGGACACTCCTGTATTTCATAGAGTTTTTGCACCAGTCTCCATCCCCTTGTATTCACGCAATGTGACTGACTTCAAAAGGGAAATGTAAAGTTGAGCAAGTTCGATTGTGAAGGCATCCAGGAGTTGGTGGGGAGTTTCTAGTTGCAGGGATCCACAACATAATTATGCATATTTGTTCAGCCAAAAGAAAAAGGTGAAGGAAGACCAGATGAAAACTTACTAGGAAATAACTCAACTTCCTAAGAAATGATGATAAATATTTAATGGAAGGCTTTCTAGTAATGTAAAACAATATTGTAAAACAGAGAATGATAATTTCCTTCAAGTACAGATAAAGATTGGAAATCATGAACGATATCATGTCTACTGTGTTTAAATTGACTCGATTATAGGAGATAGCACTGCAGACTTTGACTACCAGCAGTTCAGTGTCCAAGCTTTACATCGCCTGTTATTTGTGTGGCCCAAGCCCAGTGTTTGCTTGGTGCATAGTATGATTATTTAAACAAAGCAGTGGATATATAGCTATCTTGTCAATGTATTGGATGTTATCTGAATGAATTGGCACTATTTGTAAAAGCTACTGATGCAGTTAGTACTCTTGGACCCAAACCTCTGAATGTTTACACGACTTCAAATCCAATAATTAGAACACTATTACTCAGAAATGTAACTGTTGTTATTTTCTAATAGTGTTTGCCGACGGGGAATGTTCAACTGCACATATTACCCATGCCCCGCAGTGTGTACAGTTTATGGGGACCGGCATTATCATTCCTTTGATGGGTTGGAATATGACTATGTCAGTGATTGCCAGGTATTTCTGCTAAAGGTAGGTCCCATAGCCTTAACTGTGCTTATTTACTTGAAATTGCCCAAAGACTTTCAAAAAGCAAGTAAGATGATCAATGGTATTGAAAATTTACACACTGTGAACACTACCTACAAAAGTTAAAGCAATTCCAAGTGCATTTACTTGACTAATTCTTTTGTTTATTGTCATAAAAACACCCACATAGACCACAAGACTTGTCAACTCAGCATTTTTTTACATGTACATTTCTGTCATATCGGTTACATCATCATCACATGGGGCATCATCACTATCTATATCTAAATTATTCAACCACTGATCACAACTCAGTGCCCTCTAAACATTCCTCTTTCCCTTCCTCTACTGCCTTTGGTAACCACTAATAAACTTTGGTCTCTACACATCTGCCTATATTAAATATTATATATGTGAGATTATAAATTTTTTCTCTTTTGGCCACCGACTTATTTCATTCACCCTAATGTTCTCAAGGTTCATCTGTGTTGCAGCGTCTATCAAAACTGCATTTTCTTTTTTGTGGTTGGACAGTGTTGTCCTGCATGCATCGAGCAGAGTTTGTTTATCTGTTCATCTGTGAGGAACACATGGTTGGTTTCATCCTTGTCTGTTGTGAATAATGTTGCCAAGAACACTGACATACAAGTATCTGTTTGTGTTCTAGCTTCCGTGTGGGAGTTCTATGTTTATTTTTTTTAGGAGCTAGCAAACTTTTGTCCATGTAGGCTGTACCATTTTCATCAGCACCGAATGAGTGTTCGGATTTATCTTTGCCAATGACTGTTTTATTATCATGGCCACCTACTAGGGGTGAGGTGATATGTCATTGGGGCTGTGATTGGTGTCTCTTTCATGGAGGGAATCCATGAATCAGAAACTGGGTGGCAACGAATAACTACAGTAACGACTAAGGAGGTTGAGCATCTTTGTATGTTTGTTGGCCATCTGTATATCATCTTTGATGAAAGTCTGCTCTTGTTCTTTGTCCATTTTATTGGTTAGACTGTTTTTGTTACATTTCTATTACCCATTCTTAAGTTTATTATTTATAAATTTTAGACTAGTTTTTAACCTTTTGGACTTTTGTTTCTTCATCAGTAAAATGATAATGATAATTTTGTTTCTCTCCTGGTATACCTGTGAGGATTAGATGAGATAACTATTTGTAAAACTCTTAGGATTGTACTTGACAGAGACACAGATACTGCGTGTTCAATAAATGGCAACCATTTTATTATTATTAGCGTGGTTTGGTGGATGCAGGCATACTTCATTTTATGGCACGTGGTTTGATGGTGCTTAAGAGATACAAGTTGAAGGTTCATCGGACCCCTGTGGGCAACTCTTGCGGTGCCTTCTTCCCAACAGCAAGTGGGACAGCACATATCTCGGCGTCACCTTGGAGGCTCTCTCACAAGACTTGCATCATGCTAGTGCACGCTTGGTAGATTACAATCTCTAGTGTAAGTGTAACTTTAGTATGAACTGGGAAACAACAAAAAATTTGTGTGACTTACTTTGTTGTGATATTTGCTTTATTGTGGTGATCTGGGATAGAAATGGCACTAAACTATATATTCAACTTAGTATTTTTTTATGATAATAGCAATCAGAAACCATTATTTTCAATTTTATATATGGCATTTTGATAGGTTTGATAAACTCCTGACTTTGTTTACCTGATAACATATTTTAGAATTTCCATTCTGCTAATGCATTTGGATCACAAGCATAGCTAAATTTTATTTAGACATCACTAATCCCAGAATTAATCTTATGAATGAAAATGTTAAAAAAGAATGAATAATACTTTTTCCTCCAGGTGAATAACTTGTGATTATTTTCATAAATATATATGTGCATATTATACATTCTTTAGAAAGTAGAGAGTTATTCTTGTAAGATAAATAAAAAATGAGCATCATAATGTATAGTCTTCCAAATTAAAAATTGCTTCTGTTGTAAACTACTGATTTTCCTTTTTGGTGCTTTTCTTAGATTTTTTTATTAATGATTTCAACTTTGTTAATTAATCCATGGGAAATGAGGATTTGGCAGTCATACAATTACAGGAAATATGCACGATGCATCTGTTAAGATCAGGTCCAGGTTAAAATTGTCTGGAGATCTCGCTAACATACTGATTCGGCTTCCATATTCCTGGAACTAGGGTGCAGAGTTTGCATTACAAATCAGCTAATTGGTGATGGCAATATTCCTTCTTTACTGACTACACTCTGAGTAGAGAAGATATAATGGCTTTTTTTCTCCTGAAAAGGACCAATTTTAATTAAATGATGTAATTCCCTTATTCTTCTGAATAGCCCACTTAAGTCACATCCAGAAAAAAGGGAAGTATCTTTGATAATATCGTGTGAAACATGATAAATGCCATATCGAATTGGATATATCATTGTTAAACATTCTTCTTTTTATGGCATTATGCTAAGTAATAAAATAAAACTGGAAAATTCCATTCACATTTTTTCTATGATGAAAATTATATGAGTGCCTACTAAAAGCATTTTAAGTATATTTCATATATTACCATCTCTGACCACTACAGTGTCTGAAAAAATCTTGGTTGGTAAATTATTTCAAGCACTTAGCAAAGGATATCTTAATGTTTATTAAATGTAAGTTATGATAATTATGTAGTATATATTGTATATTCCCTAGATTAGAACAAGTTTTTAAATTCTGAAGTTTAAGGATAGGGATCATGTCTAGTTAACTAAGTAATTAATTTTACGTTTTCCCCAAATCATTTTGAAAAATGTTGAACATTTGATGAGTTCTTAATTACTACTTATTTAATTAGTGCTGTGCACCTGACTTTTTAAAAACCCTTTGTTTATCTTTGAATGCCTGGCATTTATCACTGTTTTCAAATTATTATTGTACAGAGATGATTTCAAGTAAACTATTTGTACAAAATCTGATTTCTAACAAAATATAAGAAAACTCTTGCATTTGTTGATGAATGATGGTAGCAATCCTTCTTTATTGATGCTATCATGTCATAGTGGTCATCTGTTTAGCAGGGAAGAGCCATTGAAGCTTGGCATTCAACCTTTATAAAACTGATTTCCAATCTCTAACTTGTCACTAAATCTTAATGTTAAAATAAGTGCATATTTCACTTTCAAATTTGAATGAGTGTGTCTGCTTGTGTAATAGAAACCATGCACGGAAGGAGTCCTTCTTTTAGTTAGGAATGGAATTTGGATCATTAATCCCATCTCTGGATTAAAATCGATTTAGTAAGCAAAACAAAGGGTTAAAATTGATCCCAGGGTTCATTTAGTAAGCACAAAGAAATGACTGTCTGAAAAATTAAAATTTCAAGTTTTATAAATGCATGTGCCTTTTTGTAAAGATAAAGCAAAATACTCTTTTATAAAGTTTTTATTTTTCTTTGACCTGCCAATTTTTTTGAGTAGTAGTTGAATACTTTACGCTTTGTACCAGTCAGGGACTCCAGTGATTAACCGCCTGCCAGCTACTATTGCGGTCTAGGGATAGCATCATGCTGCAAAATATATTTCTTCAATTTTGCATTTTTTCTAGTTTAACTCTTCTTCAGGAGTACTTTTTTCTTGATCCATCTGCCCAGCTTTGTCATGACCAAACCTCACCTTTTCCTGGGAAAGGTGGCGTGTCCTTGGAGAAGGAGACGTGGCTGCCAAGACTTCGTTTCCTTTCAGATTTTTTAGTGACCGGAAAAACCCCTATAAATTACAAATATAACTCTTTCTTCCCTGTCGGACAGCTCTCTTCCCGATGCATTAATGATAGATTAGATTCTGGGCATCGCCATTGCTGTTTCTAACATCTTTTTTTATATGGTGAAATTAGATTTTCATTTTTGGGCCATGTTGATGATCTAATAATTAAATATATATATATTTTTTCCTTTTTCATACTTGAAACTTTAAAAATGAATACTCACTCAGCTCTATTTTAAAAGATAATGTCTCCTGACTTTACAGTTGGGTAGAAATTCCCATCTCTGAATTGTGTAGTTTTAAATGTAACTCTCTTCTAGGGACATAGTAAGTACTTAACATATCTTTGTTGGATAAAGCCTTGTTAAGCTTTATAACTTTAGGCTCGATGATATTGTATTCATTGTTGAAGCTATTAAATTGTTACTCTGAATAAATACCTTGAAACTAATTTGGGACAAAGCTCATAATTGAACTTTCCGAGGTAGAAAGAGTTGGTTTAAAAGAAAGAGATGAAAAATCAATCAGAGGATTTCCCTGTACTGTAAACTCAAAAGAAGAGCAAGTGCTATGTGTTTTAGGAAATAAGGGAACTAGAACAGCAAAATGCCTAGATTTGAACACTTCTTTTCTTAATCTATGATCAACCACAATCACTACTAGGTCTCTTCTTATACTTTATTATTAAAACTTTTAATATTCTTTCCAGGTCAAAGCTCAAATAATCACGGTTCTCCTTAAACCACTGAAACTCCTAATTTCAAACTGCTTGCTACACCTTACTTTTTTTAATAGCAATAGTTATTATATGGTTTCCATATACCAGCCCCCATAATGAGGACAAGAAATACAATGATGACCAAAAATAGTCTTCACTCCTGCCTCTTTTAAATATTAAGCAGGTGGTGTTAATTTTTAATCACCTAATCTAAAAAGTACTCTATATATTACAATTGCAGTGGTAAACATGAACTATTATATCTGATTGCACATTAAAATTTTTACACACACATATATATAGATTAAGTCTCTCTCCCCTTGTGTATCGTATAATTCTTCTTGTTCCCACACTTGTCTCTTATCCCTCCATAATCTCCTTTGATGGCTCCGTTCTTCAAGAGTTTCTTAAAACATTGGGGCAGACAGGGTTCTATATTGCACGTCTATCTAAGCTCCAGAACACTTTTGAATGCTTGTATTCTCATATACATAGGAATTACATGTTTATTTATAAGGAATGAAAACATTTTACATCTCTGAGGGACTTGTACAAACTTTTTGATGCTCCCTCATAGAGAGAACGAAGGCAAGAAAAATCCATTACACTGTACTTGAGCAGATGAAGATCTAGAGCCAAATGTATAATGAGACTTAATAACACAGTCAATATGCCACCTTTCTATCAGTTTGTTATATACTGTGATCAGTTTCTGGAGAAAGATGTAATGCTTGGTGGAGCTGAGTTCCTGAGAAGTCAAGGGAGACTGTCGGTGAAATGGATTGGCACAATAGCTGTAATATTGAACTTGAATATGCCAGTGATCATGAGGCTGACACAAGACTAGGCAATGTTTCTTTTTGTTGCAAATAAGGTTGTCATGAGGCAAAGTCAACTTGATTGCAGATATATCTTCTTATTCACTGAGTTATTAAATATGGAAGTCTATCCCATGCTTTGCTAGGAGTTAGAAAGAATGCAACTACTGAGACATTGACTTTTACTCTGTTATTGCTTTACAACTTGATGGAGACACTAAGGACCAAGAAGCTGTAAGACTGGGCAAAATGTAACTGATTTTGACTAGAGAAAGACATACAGTGAACCCTCACCACTTCGCGCTTCGACTTCCGCGGCTTCACTCTATCGCGGTTTTTGCGTAACAGCGCATGCTCTGTCATTACTGCCACTGATTGGCTCATACTGTACACACTTCTGTCTGCATCGCTACATATCGGAGCTACGTATCAGATGCATTTTTGCTTTTGTACAGTGTACTGTAATTGTTTGCGAGTGTAATGGTAACTAAAGGGTGTTTTTTCATGTCCTCTATGCTCTAACTACGAAAATATTTGATTTACAAATGAGGAATCCTATTTCGCGGAATTTCATTTATCACGGTAGGGTCTAGAACCGATTAACCGCAATAAACGAGGGTTCACTGTATATAAGTTTCAACTACCTGTGGCCGTTACATAATTTCACGTCAACTTGAAGATATACAAAAGTGTGGGAGTGGAGTTTAGCCTGTCCATCAGGTCATACCCTGATGGTGACTCCTTGTGGGTGTAACCTTCTCATAAGGAGGGTCCTGGGAAACTTCTCTCTCTGCCTTCTCCTTCCTTCTGGGGCACTACTCTGACATCTGCCAGAACCCTGGAGATGGATCCACAGGACTTTGTACCCACCAACCTGTGATCTTCCTGCATCCTGCACCATTGCTTTGACTATACGAGCCTGAACACAGACTTACAGTCTACTATTGGACTTAGGGTCCTGAGTTGGGCTGGGCTAGGATGTTTATAATTAGTATTTGATATAAAGCTCTTTCTTACACATATATGAGTATCCCTGGATTTATTTATCTGGTCAACCCAGCCTAACACAGTACCTCCTTAAGAATGAGATGTTTTCTTGCTGTTAGATGCCTCTGTGTCTGTTCTCATTCATAGTGAGTCTATGCACAATAGCATGAACTGTTGCCAGGCCCTGTGCCACACTAACAATTATTATGATGTTTGAGTCCATCGTTGCAGTCACTATGTCAATCCATCTCATTGTGAGCCTTTCCCTCTTTCACTCACCCTCTGCCAGCAACGTAGTCCATCTCTGAAGGTACTGCTCTTGGGCTTAATCAAACCTGACTGACTTCGTCGGCTACAGCAGCAGGGACGTGCATGGGACATTGGTGGTGGGTGCCATTCACTTGGTTCTGACTCATAGTCTCCTTATGTCCAACAGAACAAAATAGTGCCTGGTTCTGTGACATCCGAACTGTCACTCCTATGTTTGAGTCCACTGTTTCAGGCACTGTGTTCATCCACCGTGGAGAGGATCTTCCTGCATTTTGCTCACCCTCTACTAAGCATGATAACCTTCCACAGGGACCGATCCCTTCCAAAACAGACGAACCCCCATGAGACAGTCTCTCCATTTCAGATTCTAAGGACCCTTCTGCTTGAACTTTTTCCAAAACAGATTTTTAAAATTCTTCTAGGCTGTCCATGATATAGGTATTATTGGCCGACGTTATGATTCAAATGCATTTGATTTTCCTTATTCTTGATTTTCCTTATTCACTGTCTTGTATACATATGAAGGAAGTAAAAATAGTATGCCTTTAATGAAATTAAAAAAGATGCGCCTTACTCCTCAAACTGATATCCTTGCTCCTTAAACCTTTCAAGAGGTCTTTTGTAGCAGATGTGTCCAATGTGATAGACCTTTTTACTTCTTCATTGCTGCTTCCATGGATATTGAATAAGCATCCACATAGGATGGAATTCTGACACCATTTGTGCTTTCTTTACACCGAAGAGTCATCTATACTGATGGTTGTACATTTTTTATTTTTATCAGTAACTGTTTCATATCCTCTTGACTTTCAGCAAACAAGGTTGAACATGAATAGTTGCTTTTAAAGTTGGCTAGTGTTATGGCCAGAGGTGAGCCTGACATGCCTAGTACAGTAATATGCTAACTTGAGAATTGTGGAAAGGTTCTGTTTGGGGATTATTTGGGAGAATAGTCTGTATAAGATTTCAGTGCCCAAGAACAATAGATGTTGAGAATCTCATATAGCACATTGATGATGACCTTTAGCTCCTGTTTTTCAATCATTACTTATTATGCTGTTTGGGAAGTTTGCAGCATTAATTCCAAATCCAATATTGACTTGAAATAGACGATAAGGGAAATGTTGATATGTAACTTTTGGGGATTACTAGCGTTTCAAACATTTGTCACCATAGCACTGCATAGCATGCCACTGTAAGCCAAACCATATAGAATATTCCTTGTAGCTTATGGTTAATAAAAAGAATAAGGCTAACATTGAAGGGCCCCAATGAACCGTAATAGAAATATAATGGTAACAGAAAGCCTATCAGCCAGCTTTTCACAATCTAATTAACTCTCCCCAAAAGGAAGAGCTAACCATAACCCCAACTACGTATTTTTTTGGTTTTCTTCTTGGAACATTTTCATAAAGGCGGAAAACTGTAGCATTATTTTTCTGAGCAGTACAATGCAACAATCGTCTTAATGACTTATCATTTTTTCCTTTCCAAATGTAGGAAATGGTTTGTTTAAGAGGTACAAAAGCTCTCAGCTCCTACAGGGAAGAAAATGGGTCACAACGGAACACATTTATTACTTCATCAACACTATTCATTGCAAACTCATGCCCTAGGCAATATGCTAATAGTAATGGATAATGTAACAGGAAGATTTTGGCCCAAGAAAGAAATGTATTGGACTAATGTTCATATTGTTGTTGATGGGAAGACCTAAAGGTGGAAAATTTCCATTAAGATGCGTATGAGTTCCAAACATTAAATGCTTTTTTTTCACTATGAAAAGGACTATTTACTGATATGGTTAAAGATGAAAAGTACTCAGGAAATGTACACTAACCTTTGATAATTGGACAGTGGGTCAAAAGGAAAGCACCACATTTCTTTATGGGAAAATCCCACCATCCTTTGTGAGTGCAAAGACTCGCAGGGAAGTAGCTTCTATATTTGGGGTGATGAGGAATATTTTGAAAGCTTGATGAAAGCTACATATACTAAAAAATTACACATGTTCATGAACAATATTTTGCAATGAATTTCTGGGATGCCCATGAAGTTAGGATATTAAGATAGGAACCCTCATTTTGAGAGAGAACAAACTCTAAGATAAGAGAAATTGCTCTTAACAGATGGTGTGGGTTGTCGCCAAGAATGGGGAGCTAATTAGAGGTAAGGTGTTAGAATGTTTGAGACTAAATAATATTCTCAGAACCTAAAGATTCACAATAATCTAAATCAGACTTTTCTACTCTATCATCACTTATACTCTTACAAATTTCTTTACAAGTTATAAAAATAGATTAGAGGGTTAAACTCAGTATCTGTCCTAATTTAGCTAAGTGAGTTTTAAGACAGTCAGTTAATTGTCCTTAACTTCCAATATCTGGTCTATTAAATGAAAATAATATTTAATTAAAATTATAGTAAATTTAATAATATATATAATTCTCCTAGTTCAAAACAAGCACTCTAATATATTGATTTATTTACTAACAGATACCATATTTCTGTATATTTGGACTTTAACTTGTAAGCAAATACATAATTTATCCAGAAAACCCCTTAAAATAAAATAAAGGACATGATACTTTAAATGGAAATATTTATTTTAAAATTCCATACGATGCATATTGACTTTTTAGACACTTATTGACAGGAAAATGTTAATAGTTGGCAAATTTGAAGCAGAGTAATTCAATGGGAAAATGTTTCATTAGAACAAAATTTTAATAGACTGCATCAGAGATTAATGTTTAAAAGTTGAACTATCTTGGTATATTTCTAGAAAAATTCTTCACATTATTAGATATACAACTTTTATTTTAAAGATAAATTATATTTTAATATGCATGCAATCCATTATAAAATTTGTTATTTAATATCGTAAAGAGAAATAAGTTAAATATTAAAATATTATGAAATTTTGTAGTAATAAAGCTTTTTCTTACATTGCAGAGTACAGATGATTTGGATATATCTGTCATTGCCCAGAACAAGAAGTGTTTTGACAATGACATTGTTTGTTCTAAAAGTGTTTTAATTTCCGTTGGAGACACTGACATTTATCTGAATGATACTCCTTACAAGCAGGTTGGTAAACTATATAAAGTAATAGAGATCTACATTTTCTTAAACATTATGTGGCTTTAGTAAATTATGCTCACATATCTCTTTTGTGCCTTACTAATACTCCCTTTTCTCAATTCTTTCCTCTTTCCTTCACTACCATAGTCACCATCCTGGCCCTGGCACCTATCACTTTTCACCTGGATTACTTTAGTAACCTTCAAACTGAACACCTGGATTCTCGTCTTAGTTCCTTCCTTCTAATCCATCCTGCCACTTTATATCTAGGAATGTTTTTCTAAAAAGGAAACTTAATTTCCTGAAATTCTGGTACTTTCAAACCTTCAAACGGTTCCCCTCTCATCCCCCCTCTCATCCCCGCACTCTGCCAAGTTGGTGCTTGCCCACCCTTGCCTAGCCTCCCATCACCTTCTGCTTCAAGTTCATTTCCCAGAAGTTGGAACTTTATCAGTTCTAAAAATGTTCTTTCATTACTTCTGGTCTCCCATGAGTGTCACTGCTTCTAATGTCATTGATCTTTCAATTTGACTTAAATGTCTGTGACAGGTGTCCTCTTGCCTTCCCCGGGGAGCTCCTCCTGTCTTCCAGCACTGCCTTCTCAGAGGCGTCAGACTTGAGTGTGATCATGTGCATGGGTGTTTGTTTTCCTCACGAGTCTTTAAGTTCCATGAGAATTAGGGTCCACTGGGCTCATGTTCATTCCAGATTCCTCTAGCCCACTGAATTTAAACGAATGGATAAAACCACTGAACACAATGAAGACTTGTTGTGGTTGTGAGCCTTGAGTCAGTTCCAACCCCTAGTGATCCCTTAGCCAAGAGTGGAACTGCCCCTCCTCCCCCGGGGCTCCCTAGGCTGTGATACTGACAGGCGCAGAACACGGCACAGGCCTCCTATGAAGCAACTGGGTGCATCGGAATCGACAACCTTTAATCATTGTGCCACCAGGACTGCTTCCATCATGCCTACTATGTAGCAAACGCTGCCAAGTGCTGGCTAGAGTGAGGATAAAACCATTGTACTTACCTTCACGGAATTTACATTCAGGAGAGCAATGTATTCCAGAGAATAAGAATGTACAGTGTGTTCTGCTATCATGGGGGTGTGTTGAGAGCTATAAGACAGATCCCTGGGAGGAACATCGAAACAGCCCTGTGTGTTCAGGGTCTTGGTTAAGAGCACAGGCTTGGGAGTCAGTCAGCCAGTCAGCCAGTCAGTCAATATCAATCTAGTACTTCTGATAGCTGTGTCATCTAGGTCAATGTATCTGACCTCTGTAAACTCCAATGTTCCCATCCTTAAATTTCTGTCAATTATATAATCTATTTCTTAAGTGCATGTAAGGATTAGATGAGATAATGAATTGCAAGAACTTCTTTTTGACCCTCATTTTTGAAGGCTCTGCAGTGACACTCTGGATGAAACACTGAACTCCTTAAAGGGTCAGTAGGAGTCAGCCAGGGAAGAAAAGTAGTTGGAGGACAATCTGCAAAATCATTCAAAGTACGGTAAATGAAAGATAAAAACTGGCCCATTGGAAGAACGACAACAGATTTGTTTGGTGGAAACACAGTGTAAGGGCTGGTGATGGAGGGAGGGAGGGAGGGACAGAGAGACGTGGGGAGGAGTAACTATCAGGGAGGCAGCAAAGCCAGAGCAGTAGACAAAGGTGCTGTGTCCCACCTGAGGGCCTTGAATGACGTGATAAGATCTTTGGACTTCATTTTACATTTTAACAAATTACAAATAATACGTTTTGGATTTGGAAGTGACATGATCTGACAAGTAGACTTTTAAAAATGATCTCTTTCGTGAGAATTTAAATGGTGTTTCTCACAGTCTGGTCTGGAAACCTCCATGAAAATGAGCTGTAGTATTTGTTTGGGGTCCCAGTGGTCACGTGGGATACATGTTGGCCTGCTGACTGCATGGTCCGCATTTCGAAACCACCAGTCTCTCCGCAGGAGAAAGATGAAGCTCTCTCTCCTGTAAGGATTACTCTCAGAAACCCACAGAGGCAGCTCCATTCTGTCTTAGGCAGTTGCTATGAGTTGGAATTAACTTGATGACAGTATTTATTTTGAGTAGTACTTATTAGAAGTGCTGGTCTCTGAGCCCTGCCTCAGTCACTGGGATTTCTTGGGAAGAGGTTAAAGTAGAAAGTTTTAATGAGATCTTCGTTCTTCTGCATGTGATTGGTTGAAAACTAGCACCTTAGTACATAGCTTATATGTGAGCCAGAAACCTTACAAGGAACCAGACAGCACTCAAACGGGGAGCAAAATAGAGTTTCTATAGCTATCTTGGCGTCTTTCTGAAGTAATTACAGTAGCACCCCGGACCTCGACGCTAATCTCTTCTACAAGGAGCATCGAGATGTGATACAGTCGAATTCTGAATCAATTTTTCCCATAAGAAATAACTGAAAATGGATTATTCTGTTCTTGACCACCAAGTTTTTACCCTAACCTTGTTTTTATATACAAAATGTTACACAAAATGAAATCTCAAAGTAAGTAAGGTCAGAGTTAAATAATATAATTAAATAAGCAACACACATTAAAAAAAAGTTTTTAACAACTACATTACGGCCCACACCTTGAGACTGATGAGGATCTGGATCCGTGGACACGGACGTGGAGAGGAGGGGTGGAGAGAGAGTCCTTGTTTGGAAGGGGAATCTCCTTCCATCAAATCAACTGGTCGCTGCTTTTCAGGAGTTTTTTCCCTTCTTTGCCTTTTTTCACTAGGACCCGGCTGGCTTTCTCTTAAAAAAAAAAAAAAGTTTAATGTGGTCTGCTGTTGGCGTTTCCTTAACTGTTTTCTGAAAGGGTTTACTCAATTATCAAACAATATCGATACTATGGTCAACCAGTTCCTTATCATGATGATTCTTTTCAAAAAACTGTCTTAGGACCCGTGGTTTTTTTTTATCTAAAAGCAATATAAAGAGCCACAAAAACTAAGAAAATTATGCAAAACACTTGGAACACAGCTGCAAAAGGTTTAAACAACGCGTACTAACAACACCAACTAAAGCCAAGTGATTGAAACACGAATTGCTTTTATTGACAAAAATCACATGCGTTGGGTCGGATTCTGATGTTTTGATCAAGCTCTGATGCAATTTTTCCCCAACATTTTGCGTTGAAATCCAATGATGTCAAGACTGGTGCGGGGGTCGCGGACCGGGTTGTACTGTGCTGTGTCTGGCACAGCCACCACCGGGTATTCACATATTGGTAAACCTTGTCTCCAAGAACAGGGATAGTAAAAAGAACTTAAGGGAAGCTATAAAATTCTCTGGTAAAGGAAATTTGACACATTTTGAGAGTGGTAATTACAGTTGTATGTAACTTTCAACACCCAATTTTCACCTGTATGTAGGTGTTGATGAATATCCTTTAGATTGACTGCAAAGTATAAAGTAAAATTCAGAAGTCATAAAAGTAGTTTGATCAAACAAATATCCTGCCAATATTTTTTCTCAAGAAGCAGAAGTGTAAATAGAACCATTTATTTATAGCAGATGGATTTCTTATCCAGGAGAAGAAAAAAAAATCATTTCTTTTCTATAATAATAGCTGAATTCTAATCTTCCCAAATATTTAAGAAATAAACACTATTAACTTATTTAAACTTCCTTTTAAAGGTTTTCATTTTCTAAATTTATAACTTAGAGAAACCTAATCAAACTTTGTTTAAAGTGTCTTAATTTCATCTGAAGTGGACATCTCTCCTTCAAGCAATTCATAAAGTCTCACTCTTCTAGAGAGAAGCATCCATACTTGCTAATCTGGAAAGTGCGGAGTACGGCATCTCCATCTGACCCCATGCAATTGACTTCATTTTAGTAAACTTTTCATCGAATGAAAAGGACAGATAGTAAAGATGTGCTTTGCATCCGGGTAACTGATGCAAATCAACTCTGACAAACCATAACAGACTAAAAATACTCTTAGTCTATGCTGCATAGACATTTTCACTTGATGAATTCCTGAAAGACACTGCCTATGAAAGAACTTGATTATAGCTTTCACTAAATATTTTGAAAAGTCACTTTAACATTAACTACTCAAAAATATAAACAGAATCAAAGTACTCTATTTTACAGGTGAGGGGACCATCTTTAGTCCCCATTATTACATATTTATCACTGTGTGTAATTATGCTTAGACAGAGTTAACCCCTTAATTGCCTCTAAATCCATAGTGTTGCTATATCCTTCTCATAACAGAAATGCCTTCTTTTTCCTTTCAACATTTTCCCATGTGAGTCTCTCTACCAGGTTCTGATTGCTTCCCTAATTTCATGTAAAACCAAACCATCAAACCTTTTGCCATCAAGTTGATTTCTACCCAGAGGGGCCTTCTAGGATAGAGTAGAACTGTCCATAGGATAGCCAAGGCTATACATCTTTCGGACAGTGATTCGCAAACTTCCTAATGCCGCAACCCTTTAATACAGTTCCTCATGTGGTGGTGACCCCCCAACCATAAAATTATTTTCGTTGTTATTTCATATCTGTAATTTTGCTACTGTTATGTTATGAATCGGGCGACGCCTGTGAAAGGGTCATTCGACCCCCCAAAGGGTTCACGACCCACAGGTTGAGAACCGCTGCTCTAGGGAAACATAGTGCTGTATCTTTCTCCCATGGAGTAGCTGGTAGGTTTGAACCTTTCACCATTTGGTTAAGCCCTGTTAAGTCCCACTAGGGGTCCTCCAATTTTATGCATTTCCTATTTTATATATTTATTTGATCTTATTCTACAGCAGAATATTCATACACAGATGCTTCTTGATGGAGAACAATTCGATTACTTTTATTGATTTTGTTTTTAGAGATGGTAGAATGAATTTTATTCTTTCCTATGCTCTTTTGAAGATGCGGTCAGGTTTTTTCCTGGAAGATAACCCTAGGTATCAACTCTGGAAGGCCGGCTACTACACAGTAGTGCACTTCCCGGAGGAAGAGGTCACCATCCTTTGGGATGGAAAGACAACCATTCATATCAAAATTGGACCCCAGTGGAAGGTAAGTCAGCCCAAGTGCTATCTGAATAACCCCCCAAATCTCACTACCACCAAGTTGATTCTGACTGATAGCAAACCTGTAGGACAGGGTAGAACTGCATTTGTGAATTTCTGAGACAATAAATCTTTACAAGATTAGAAAGCCTCATCTTTCTTCCAGGGAGTGGCTGGTGGTTTCAAACTGCAGCCCCATGAGTCCACCACCAAGGGTCTAAGCTCTTAATGAGAGGTACTACACTGTCTCCCTGAAAATAAGACAGTGTCTTATATGAATTTTTGCTTCCAAAGATGTGCTAGGTCTTATTTTCAGGGGATATCTTATTTTTCCATGAAGAAGAATACGGTACACATTTATTGTTTTATTAAAAGAGACCTTGCACTTCCTGTCTGTTCCGGCTGCGCTGTAGCCAACAGTGAGCTGCGCTGCGGCACCCACTGCTACGGTCCAGAGTCAGAGTTAAGGTAGCTTTGGGGGTCTTAGTTTTGGGAAGGTCTTATTTTCGGGGGGGTGCCTTATATTTCAGCGAGAGGCAAAAGTGTGGGTAGGTCTTATTTTCGGGGGATGTCTTACTTTCGGGGAAATATTGCATTTTACCTTTTACACTGAGATTCTTAACAAAAATCAGTCCTTTTCTGGAATTGGCAGGGAGGCTCATGAATATCTTCTATGAACAATTAGAGAAAAAACATGATAGTAACAATATATTTTCATGAAACCGTGGAAATGATACATTTTGAAAGATGGTACAACTTGTTAAGAACCAGACTACTAGTTTAGACATTGGCAGTTTGAACCCATCCAGAGGCACCTGGAAGAGCGGAAATCTTTATCTGTGTCTGAAAGGTCACAGCTTTGTACACCCCAAGGAGCAGTGGTACTCTGACACATACAATTGCTGTCAGTTGGAGTTGACTCAGTGCTAACTCACATCATGTTTAAAAGATGTTTGTGTATTGGAGTTATTATCTAGTATACTTGAGAAGAATAAAACCCCCAAATAAATTTCTGGGTGTTTGCTGGGATCTAGCATTCTTTTAAGAGGTTGAGACCACTTTTCATTATTGTCCTACTTCTTCAATTAATGTTCTCTGCCATTCACCACAGGCTCCCCTCCGCCTCCAGTTTTGAAATAAATTAAGCATTTGTTCTTGCATCTTTCCCCCTTACTGCTTCCTGGGCTTTTCGATGCCCACTGGCAGAGCTTCCCCTGCTTTCGGGTAGCTTCTGTATGAGTCAGAAGTGGCTGGGCAGTCATGGGAAGCCTCGTTAAGGAAGGACTGCATTCTTTCAGACTATGCACAAAAGGCAAGCGCTATATGTTTGAGTTCATCCACTGTGTAAGGGAAGAGCTTCATTTTTGGGGGAAGATATCTATCCTTGCATTTGACTCTGTGCTCCATTGATTTTGAAAAATTATCCAATTCTGCACTCTTACTCTCGCTTCTTTAAAACTACAAATTTTCACAAAATATTGTTTTGCTGAAAATTACAATACTGATTTCACAACTCATAACAATCTTTTTTTAAAATTAGGGAAAATCATCAGAATCTAGACTAGAATATGGATTTCATTTCTTTTCTCCCGTGAGGGCATGATTTATAAGTATGAAAGGCAACTTTTCCTTTAAAAACTGTTCTTTTCCAAGTACAATCTGTAGGAATCTTCCAACATTCACACCATTACTAAGCCTTAAAGGAGGTTGATCTACCATTAGTGAAAAAATATTCACACAGACACAAACATGCATACACATATATGTGCATAAGATGTGTGATGCTTATATCACACTGTATAGTGTATCTATAGTAATGCTTATATTACAGTTAGTTGAATCAATACTAAAATCTTGGTCTATATGGATACATACACTTTGGGGGATGGTAAAATATCTGGAAGGTAATGCATAAATACGGTTAAATAGATATGTCTTGTCTGGGTGCCACTGAGCCCGTTCCAGCTCCTAGTGACCCATGGACAGGAGGAGGACACGCTGCCCAGACTTGGGCTAGCCTTTCCATTCTGCTTCTGTGTGAGCTCGTTGCTGCAGTCATGGCATCACTTCTTCCTGCTCAGGGTCTTCCCTTTTCTCTCTCTCTCTCTCTCTCTCTCATGCTCTATCAGACAAATAGACAGAACTATCACTTTCTTCACACAGTAATTTAAAAACATGCTTATTGTGCAAATTTAAAAGTACATCTTAAAAATTATATTAAAAAGTATACCTTTCAAAAACTTTAGTAAGAGTTCTTAAATCTTAAAGTGACTATAGATTAGTTCATGGCATTTTTCTTTTATTTTAGAACAAACTGGCGGGATTGTGTGGAAACTTTGACAAGTGTACTTCAAATGATATGACCACCTCTAATAACGTGGAAGTCAGACACGCCCAGGTATTTGGAGATAGCTGGGCGTTAGGCCAAGTATGTATATTTACATATATTCTATTTCTTTAGAAGCAAACAAATACTGTTAAAGATATCTACTCACTAGCTCATGTTATTCTTAAGGCAATTTATTTAGATAAAATTATTTTAAATTACATTTGTATTGTAATTCACAGTTAAAAATTACTTTCATATTTAAATTCTCGTGTAGTTATGTCAGTACTGATTATTACCTTTAGATTAGAGGTGAAGACATTGAAGACTAAGTAACTTGTATAATATGCAGTAGCCATGAAAACAAACAAAAACTTCACTGCCACTGAGGCAATTCTAACGCATAGCAACCTTATAGGACAGAGAAGCGCCTTCCCTTTGAGTTTCTGAGACCTGAAGTCGTACAGGAACAGTTAGCACCATCTGTCTCTTGCAGTGCAAAACAGCAGAGGTGAAAATGAAACTCATATTCATTTAAAATATAAGTATCTATTGTATTAAAATAGACAAAATCTTTTAAATTGTGGCCTTAATATACCTTATTGCCTTTAGAAGTTTTATTTTACATTTATTTGATTGGTAAATAAATTAAGGAATCATTAATTTCCAATACACTCAAATAATAATTACCACATAATTCATAACCCCCTAAATTCACACATTTTTGATTCTTTATAGTTTTGTTGAGCTCTTAATGTTTTTGATGGTATGTGGACACATAAATACAAGAGAGTTTCTGCCCATAAGGGCTTCAAGATCCAGAGCAGAATGTGGGGTAGAAAAATTAACGATGGACACATTGTGAGAGAAGTCCTTCATTTGAAGTGTATGCTCCATGGAGGTTGTGATAGCACAGGGCGGTAGTGAAGTAGGTACTTCTGAGAACTGTAGGGGAACTTGGCAGGTGAAGAGTATTGTAAAGATCCGACCACAGAAGGAGCAGCCGCGGAAGGTGTCAGGAAGCGCGCAAGAGTACAGTGCTTCCAAAGAAATTCCACAAGTTCACTTGCTTATGAGGCAGGCTGTGTATTCAGGACTGACTGGAATGCAACCTGCAAGGACCAAGTGCTGGACTAAAGAGCCAAAGCCTGGTCAGAAAGCGTGAACTGGAAACATTGAGTTTGATGGAGATTTAGGAAACGGTATGGACTTGAGAGGCATCTTCATAGAAGGTTACACTCCACAGCATTTGCTGAAAGATTATATTGGGGAAGGTAAACCTGGAAGACTCAAGAAGTCTCCTCCCTTCCTTGCTTACTGGGTAGGTGCTGGAGGGCAAAGAGGAGAAGCTGGTGTTTGTAGGTTTGGGGAGAGAGTAGGGGCAAAGTCTTGGCTGGAGACACAGATCTGATAGTATGAGAGTAAGTCAAAAAGTATCGCTACAAATTCAGACAAACCTTTATTAAACAAACCAAAAAGTCGAGATGTAAAGTGATTTTTTTTGGACATATCCTTCATCTAGATCAGTGGTTCTGAACCTGTGGGTCATGACCCCTTTGGGGGTCAAATGGCCCTTTCACAGGGGTTGCCCGATTCACTACAGTAGCAACACGACAGTTATGAAGTTGCAATGAAAAAAATTTTATGGTTGGGGGTCATCACAGCATGAGGAACTGTATTCAAGGGTCGTGGCATGAGGAAGGTTGAGAACCGCTGCCCTAGATCAATATACAGTGAACCCTCGTTTATCGCGGTTAATCGGTTCTAGACCCTACCGTGATAAATGAAATTCCGCGAAGTAGGATTCCTTATTTGTAAATCAAATATTTTCGTAGTTAGAGCATAGAGGACATGAAAAAAACACCCTTTAGTCACCATTACACTCGTATTACCCAATTTATTAAACGAAAAAGGGAAAATACAGTAAAACATTTTGAACGTTACAATTACCATTTATTATTTATGGCATCTAGTTTACAGTATTACATATTTCACATACAGTATTATTATACATAGTTCTTACAAATACTGTAATCAATAGCCTATGAAATGACTTAAGGGATGTACTTTACAGGTGGGTCGCCGTCTTTTTCCTCTGAAGGAGCGGGTGTAGGCAGTGGGTGCTGTTATGCAAAAACCGCGATAGAGTGAAGCCGCGGAAGTCGAAGCGCGAAGTGGCGAGGGTTCACTGTACATCTTAAGGCAGTATTTACTCTAATTCTTCGCTGAAAAATACTGCACACTGATTTATACCACATCAAAACAGAGGATTTGCCATCATTAAGGGAATCAAACAATTTTCCTTTTAAATGTTTGAGTGCAGGAAAGGAAAAGGAGTCGGAAGGGGCCAGAGCAGATGTCAGCAGGAGGGCCACATTTCCCAGAGAAAGTCCCCGGCCTCAGCCCCGGGCTACTCTCCAGAAAGGAGAGAGGGTGTGGTGGTTGCAAACCATTCCTGGCCTTTTTCTCAGCAGCGCAGTTGTCAGCTTTTTCCTGGGTTCTTTCAGAAAATGTATCCAGATGACCTCTTTAGACTCTCACAAATATAGAGGACCTTCTAAGCGGCTCTCTCTGCCTTGAATGTAACTGGCCCAGCGGTTCCTTTCGGAGGCCACGGTCTTGATGCCTCCACGGAGGCACCCTCATAAGACTGAGAGCGCATCACGAAGGAAACTGCCCGACAGCCCTGCGCTGACGTCAGAGATCTGTTTTAAAATGCTTGCAGCTGAAATAACCCTGTGTGTGTTTGACCCGAAGCCTCGTAACAATAATTTCGATTCACCTATGTATGCTCACGTAAGCGTATGAATAGAATGTAAAAAGAAGAGCTTTGAAGATCAGGTCTTGCAGAGAAGGGAGGAGGAAAGAATTTGGAGAACACCTTCAGTGAGGTCAGAGAAAACCCAGCAAGAAACAGTCTCTACAGAGGGATTAAGTCGTAAATAGATTTGAGGGAGGAAATGGACCAGTCAGATGGACAAATGAAAAGTTATTCCTCAGGGTGGTTTCAGGAAGGTGGACTACAAGAGAGAGGCCAAACGGCTCAGTATTTAGAAAGTAAGGCTACAGGGCTTTGAGGGCATACTCCTCAGAAAATAAGTTGTGATGAATATGTTTTAAAATGTGAAAAATAAAAGGAAAGAGTTCATTAGCTCATGTAATACTTTTAGTCATGTAAATTCCAAATTTTAAGATGATTGCAATTATTGGTCTCCATGTTATCTCTAATACCACCATTACTTTAGTGTTATATTTTGTTGCCTTGAAAGTACTTGTCAATGCCATCGGGCTTTCGTTCTGTGGCACAGAGGCGCTATAAAGCCTTTCTAAAAGGAGGAGCTTAGGAAGGTGCTTCAAGAGTTGATGGAAAATTCTATTCGTATTTGATTCCACTTTCCGATCCACTTTTTGAAACCCCTTTGTATATAGATGCAACTGGAGTGGAGAGTCCAATAAGTTCATTTGGTTTCAGTTTCACATTTCACCCTTTGAATTATTTTCATTTTTGTCCTCCCTTAATCGTCTTTAACAGTGTGAAACCCCAGCTGAAACCATTAGACCCTGTGAAGCGCAACAGAACAAGTTCCCGTATGCCAAGAGAGAATGCTCCATTTTGTACAGTGATGTGTTTGCTCCGTGCCGCAATGTGGTAAATGGTGCTTGACTAAACTGTCATATTTAAACAAGTACTGCTTCCATAATATTGAGGTGAACAGGATAAACAATTTAACCACCCATTGGCTTTAAGATTTCCTAACCACTTTTAGGAGGCAACGTTTTTTGTTTGCTTTTCCATAGAAGTAATGCTGTAGTGGATTTACTCATTCTCCCTCACTGCATCACATTTACATCACATTTGTAGTAATATTTTATAGTTTGTAAGGTATGTTTATGTCAATCACTTTATGATCAAGGTGTAAATAGACTGCTTGATGTGATTGAACTATGAAATGATATGATATGTGTAATAACTCCCAAGAAAAAGAGATATAAATATAGAGTGGTTCTGGAGTTGAGGCAAATTGAAATTTGAGGTTATTAAAATTTTTAGCCTAGAAAATGATTTAAATGAAGTTTATTAGATAGTAATGTTTAGGGCATTGTTTCACTTAGAATTGCTGCATTCTGATTCATATCATGCTAGCCCATCATTACTACTCCTAAACTCATTCCTAACTTTTAATGAGTTACCCTGTGAACAATTAGTCACTCTATGAAAGCTGAGCAGATTTCTGCGAAAGATTTCTGAGCAGATTTATTTGTCTTCAGAGAGCATTGTCAAAAGAGCATTATTCTCCTCATCCCAAAGTGTAGTTGAAAAGTATCATTAGTGACTCATTCCAAATATGTCTTAAAGCATATTCCAAAGCACAGTGTAATTTATTTGAAATTTAACTTCCTAAACTCCTTTCCAATATAATAAATCTAGGCCTCCATAAAAAATTTTAAGGTCAAAGGCACTTGAAAGATCAAGTAACAGCACAGTTGGAGGTGGAATAATCTCGTCTGTTAGTGTCACATGAATATGCCATTAATGAAACAACTCCCCCAAATACTCGTCTGCTATATTGCAAAGATAATTATTCCTTTAATCTATTCCTTGTTTTTCTAGATCACAGCATTGCAAAATTTCCCTCCTTTAGGTAAAACAGATATGTAAAACTACAGAGAACTCTCTAAGTAACAGTGCTAAGCTGTCAAAATTGGAAAACACACCAGTTAATTTTCTTTCCAAAATTTGAGTTTAATCCATATAGTATGTAGCTATTGAAAGTAATGCTTTTCATGTTGTTTTTAGATTGATGTAACATCTTTTGCCAAAAATTGCCATGAAGATACATGTAACTGTAATCTTGGGGGGGACTGTGAATGTCTATGCACAAGCATTGCCGCGTATGCGCACAAATGTTGTCAGGAAGGGATACCCATTCGATGGAGATCACCGACTACTTGTTGTGAGTACTGTGCACAGGCTATCATTAATGGGGGTCTTATAAGGAGATTCATATCAGTTACTGATATTTCATAGAACTGATTGCATAAAAGGACTGAAAATAGAACATATTTCAGACAAATAGTAAAAAAACTATGCCTTTTATTAAATAGAAAAATAGCATTTAGTAAAAGGATTTATAAAATGAAAAATATGAGGTATGGTTTCTGTTCTGTGTTTAAGTGCTGTCATTGTAATACTTGAATTTTAAATTATTCCTAAACCATCTTCAGAGATATTGCTTATCACTCTAGTTTTTCAATGCCTGTGCATTTTCATGCTGGTATGGTTATAAGAAAAAAATTAAAATACTGTATATATACCCTGTATTTGCTTATTGATTGGACTTTAAAAAATTATTAGTTTCCTTCTGTAGCTAGTAAATCATTTGAGTAACATTTAGTAGTTTTAACACTATCAACTGACATTTTAAAATTGACAGATATATTTACCTATTTCTGAAATAATTTTATGAAGTGAAATTAATTAAAACATTCCACTCTTAAAGAATTCCCTTCAGTCACATAAAGATTTAAAATTGCTCAATGACACTTATGCATTTAGATAAGTGTAATATTGTGTGCATTTAGCTAAGTGTGGAGTTTCTTACAGATATTAATATTTATTTTTACCCTTTAGCCCTTGATTGTGAATACTACAATGAAGGTATGTGGCATTTTCATAAAGATTCTAATATAGCATTCTGCTAAGTGTGCCTTCAGGGTAAAGTTTGTGAAAAATATTTGTTGGGGAAAAAGTATAAGTAGTTTGCAATTTTACATATAACTTTTCAGAAGACTTTACTTACTAAAGTTACTTAAATTTCTAAGTACTTTTGTTAAACCTTATACTTTGAGTAGTTATAGAGTGTGTTACTCAATTAGCAGCATTAGGAGACACACAGCATGTTATTTTTGAATGGCATTGATGGATGGATGAATGAGTGAGTAAAGTTAGATAGCTTTTAGGTAAAGAGGATAAAATAGATACGAGTGAGCTTCTAAAATTTCATGGAAAAATGGAGTGTTATGACAATGGACATTTTTTCAGGAATGTTCTGAAGCCCCCATACATGCAAAGGGTACATTTTTGCCATTATGTTGAAAATATGGACATTGTTCAAGTTGATTATGCAGTAGAAATCAAATAAACAAATTGTATATGTGTTCAAAAGAATAAATATACTTAGTTCTCACTCATTACCATCAAATCAATTCTGAACCGTAGCGACCCTGTAGGACAGAGTGCTGCCTGTGGACAGGAGTAGACAGCATTGCCTTTCGGCCTTGGAGTGGATGGTGGTTTTGAATTGCTGGTTTGGGGTGAGCAGCCCAAATGGTAACCAGTATACCACCCTGGCTCCATACTTGGTTATGACTAGACAAAATTATATAACAGTAGCGGATGAGATTTTATTGATAATATAATAATGACACCCCCCCCCACCAGAACAACCAAAATAGAGATAGAAAAAACACAATAATTATGTGATAATTTATAATATAACCTTTGAATATTGGCTTCCTGAATCAGAATCGACTCAATGTCAGTGAGTTTGAAAGGGTTTTGGTAGTGAATATGAGGACCTGCCACCATTTGTTCATCAGTTTGTCTGACTGTGGTGGCTTGTGTGTTGCTATGGTGCTGGAAGCTATGTCACTGGCATTTCAACTGCCAGCAGGGTCACCCACAGTGAACAAGCTCCAGGGGAGCTTCCAGATTAAGAACAGGTAGGAAAGAAGAACGCAGCTCCCCACTTCAGAGGAAGAAGCTGCTGAATACCATTCTCACAGCTTTGAGGCATTTTCAAATACTGAAACCCCAAACAAAAGACGCAGAATATTGTCAGCGATACTGCTGGCAGGTGGGCCCCTCAAGTCTGAGGGCAATGGAAAGATGACTGAAGAGGAGATGATTTATTGGAGGAGAGTTGACCATTATATATGAATCTAGTAAAGCCTGTGGGAGTGGAGACTTTGGGGGTCTTTATTTGCTGCTGACCATGACCCAAGGTAGGGAGAAACAGCTGCAAAAGATCCTCTAGTAAATGGAACTTGGAATGTGGGGAGTATGAATTGAGGAAACCTGGAGGTGATCAAAATGAAATGGCAGTCATGGTGAGCAACATCCTAGGCATTCGTGACCTGAAATGGACTGCTGTTGGCCACTTTGAACTAGAACATCCTATGATTTGCTAAACTGGGACGAACACAATCAAGAGGAAAGGTGTGGCACCCATTGTCAGGAAGGATCTCGCTAAATCTAGCACAAAGCACAACCCTGTCTGTGATCAGATTATATCTCTCTGCCTTCAAGGATATCAAATCAATACAACTATTGCTCAAATTTATGCACCAACCACAAAAGCTAGTGATGAAGAAATTGACAAATTACCAAGGACTTCTTCAGTCATAAATGAATCTAACACGCCACAAAGATACATCGGTAGTTATTGGTGATTGGCATGCAAAAGTTGGAAACAAAGGGTTGGAAAATAGGGACTTGGTGATAGAAATAAAGCAGGAGATCACATGATAGAATTTGCAAAACCAGCGACTTAGTCATAGCAAGTAACTTTTTTCAGCAACACAAAAGGCTTCTATACACATGGACCACATCCATCCCCGGATGGAATACTCAGAAATCAAATTGGCTACATCCGTGAGAGAACACAATGGGTGCACTCAGTGTCAGCAACTAAAACCAGACCAGGGATCCACTGTGCAACAGACCAGCAGTCGCTCACCTGTATGGTCAGGATAAAGCTGAAGCAAATGAAAGCAAGCCTGCAGGAGCCAGAATACGACCTTGAGTCTATCCCACATGAGTTTCAAGAACAACTCAAAAACAGATTTGATTCACTGAACACTAATGACAGAAGACCTGATGAACTGAGAGAGGACATCCAGACCATCATCAGAAGAAAGCAAAAGATCATTAAAAAGACAGGAAACAAAGAAAAGATCAAAGTGGATGTCAGAAGAGCCTCTGAAGCTTGCTTTCAATTGTAGAGTAGCTGAAGCAAGTGAAAGAAAGGATGAAGTCATGAGTTAAATAGAAATCTTCAAGGGGCAGTTCAAGAAGACAAAGCCAAATATTCTAACTAAATGTGCAAAGACCTAGAATTAGAAAACCCAAAGGGAAGAGCACACTCAGCTTATCTGACACGGAAAGAACTCAAGAAAAAATTCAAGTCTCAAATTACAGTTCTGAAAGATTCTCGAGGCAAAATATAGAATGATGCAGGAATCATCAAGAGAAGAAGGAAAGAATAGAGAGTCACAGTACCAGATGGAACTAGTTAACAGTCCACCATGTCAGGAGGGAGCATATGAGCAAGATCCAATGGTGCTGCAGGAAGAAGGTCAAGCTGCACTGAATGCATTAGCCAAAAACAAGACTCCAGGAACTGACAAATTACTCACTGGAATGTTTCAGAAACCTGATGGAGTACTGGAAGCGCTCACCTTTCTATGCTAGGAAATTTGGAAGATGGTTACCTAGTCAACAGACTAGAAGAGATCATATTTGTTTCCATTCCAAAGAAAGATGATTCAACAGAAGGCTCAAATGATAGCATGATCTCACTGAGATTGCACACAAGTAAAATTTTGCATAAGATCATTCAACAATGGTTACAGCAGCACATTGACAGGGAATGGCCACAGCGCAGGCTGGATTCAGATAAGGATGTGCTGATATCAGAAGGATCTTGGCTAAAGCAGAGAATACCAAAAGTATGTTTACTTCTGTTTCACTTACTATATAAAGGCATTAGATTGCATAGACCGCAATCAACTGTGGGTAATCTTGAGAAGAATGGCAATCCAGAGCACTTCATTCGGAACATGTACATGGATCCAGAGGCAGGTGTGCTAACAGAATGAGGGACTTCTGTAGGAAGGTGTGAATCAGGGTTTTATCCTCTCACCATGCATGTTCAGTCTGTATGCTGAACAAATCATCAGAGAAGCTGGATTAGAAGAGTGAGGCATCAGTATTGGAGGAAGGCTGATTAGCAACCTGGAAGGCAAATGATAATATTGCTTGATGAAAGTGAGGAAGTGAAGCACCTGTTGATAAAGATCAAGGATTGTAGCCTTCAATATGGGTTACAATTCAATGTATTGATTACAAAAGGTACATCATGAAAAATGAAGAAAATGTTAAAGTTGTCAAGGATGTTTCTTACTTGCATGGACAACTGATGCTCATGGAAAAAGCAGTCAAGAGATCAGAAGACACGTTGCAATCTTCTGCACAAGATCTCTTGAGAGTATTGAAGAACAAGTTTGTTACTTTGAGGAATAAGGCATGCCTGATTCTCGCCATGGTGTTTTCCATTGCATCATACGCATGTGAAAGTTGGACATTGAATAGGAATACTGTAGAAGAATCGCTGCATTTGAATTGTGGTGCTGGAGAAGAATATTAGAAGTACCACAGACTTCTAAAAGGATAAACAGATCTGTATTGGAAGATATAGAGATAAGAGCCAGAGAACTCCTTAGAGGAGAGGATGGCAAGACTTCATCTTGGATGGCAAGACTTCTTACATGTTTTGGGCATGTTGTCAGGTGACATCAATCCCTAGAGAAGGACAATATATTTGGAAAAGTGAAGGGAGGGAGAAAAATAGGAAGGTCCAAAAAGAGATTGGTTGACACATTGACTGCATCAATGGGCTCAGGCATAGGAACACTTATGATAATGGCGCAGGACGCTGCGATGATGTTTTGCTCTGCCATAAGTAGGGTCGCTATGGGTTAGAGTCAACTTGGTGGCACCTAACAACAATACAAATGAGGAGCCTTAGAGGTTTAATGGTCAAGCATTCAGATGCTAAATGGCAGGTCAGGGGGTCTCTCCAGTGGCTGTGTGGCAGAAGGGTGTGCAATGAGCCTCCTGAAGCTCCTAGCCTTGGGAACTTTAGGACCCCATGACTTTGTCTTATGGGTTGAAATCAATTAAAAAGCAACTAGATTTTCTTTTCTTGGTGACTAACCTGAAGCATTATGGATAATTTTTAACAGCACAGGTCTTTATCATATTGACTCAGTAGTTCTAAATTTTATCAGCCACCTCAGTGGTATATACATAGTAACTTTAAGTTATTAGATCTACAAGAGTTCCACATGAGTTTCTCTGCAGCAACAAACCCACTAGCCATGTCTGAATGTTTCTAAGTGTTTTTCCCCCCTTTTCTTGTGAGGACAGCAGCTCAACCAGCAGATGAGCTACATGTGGACAAACATTTATTTACCAGTTGTCTCATAATATTTTAAGAATCACTGCAGTGATGCCAAAGCCTACATTTTCCCTCTGTGTTGACCTCAACCTTAGTTTTGGGCACGATTTACATTATTAGGAAGGGTTTTGCTCTTCATTACTATCTCATCACATGGAGTAGCTTGGGATAAGTAATAGAGAATGAGAAATTTTTGGGAATTACAATCAATTGGACAAGTGTATATTTTGGGAGTGAGGTAGAACATGGCTGACACCCTTTACAGCACCCAGAACCCTCACTGTGGTTAGTTGCTGTTGCACTCCCTCTGACACACGGAGACCCTGTGGACAAAGAATAAAGCACTGTTCACTCTTGCACTGCCCTCTCATCTGCTGCTAAGTTTGAGTCCATTACTGCACCCACAGTGTCAGGCTGT